GGAAAGGAAAGGAAAGGAAAGGAAAGGAAAGGAAAGGAAAGGAAAGGAAAGGAAAGGAAAGGAAAGGAAAGGAAAGGAAAGGAAAGGAAAGGAAAAGGTTTCATGCACTCTTGTGCATGGTATTTCCTGATGCCAGGGGCATCTTTGTTTACAATTGGGACTGCTGCAGTGGGATCCAGCTAAGAATCTGAAGATATCACTATTGATGTCCCAGCTGCTCTGCCCTAACTGTGATCCTCCTCAGCAGTTTATTTTGCTGTGGAATCATCTTTAGGGATGTGAAGTCTTTTGCTTTGATACATTTACACTATTTCCTGCTCAAACTCAATGATTTTTGTTTCTTCCCTGACCTGTTACAAAACTGCTTCTTTCCTGGGTGACAGTTATTGAATCTGTTTTCTCTGTGTTCTCATCATGCTGCTCATTTTGCACTTTAGATTTCATGTTTCTGTTCTTTTCTTTCCAATTCTTTGGGAATTTGTCTGATTGCCAGAGGAATGTAAAGCTCCACTTGGTGGAGTGGGACAACTCAGCTTGGAGGGGTTTCTTGCTACTTGGTTGTATCATTTAGCATCCTTTATGGTCTCAAAGCTATCCCTGATCCTTCTTCATTCCCATTAACCTGTACAAYCAAGTGCTGTTTCCAGCTGGGGACTGATCCATTCCAAATCARAGGCAAGGAGAGAAGACTTAAAACAAATGCACTGAAAATGAATATTTCTGTATTGAGCACTATGCAATGCTGTTAAATAATTGTCTGTTCTTGCCTATTCAGCAGTATTTTGGATTGGGAACCTGKCTCCCAAGGGAATCAAGGCACACTTAAGGTGGTGGCTTTGTGCCAGTCGTTCCTCTGGGACTGCTGAACTCGTTGGCAACTTCAAAGTGACTTGAATCACAATTTCAAAGATACTGACTTAGCTGACACACCTCATGCAACAGGCCGCTGGCAGAGAGATGGGACCTGAGCTAGGGCTTTAGTGAGGAAAGACCTGAAAYTGGAACCTTCTGGATGGTAAAGAATGTGGCTGGTTCTTCCCTYTGCAGGACTGGGGAGGCAGAGGGGAGGAGAAAGGCAGATTGGGAATGTCTCAGCCTCAGGAAAAGCTTTGATCAGATCTGAGCCTCATTAGAYTGGAGATAATCCAGTAATGAGATGCAAAGCTGAGAGAGAAGCAGGGRATGGGGGCTCAAGCTGGGCCTGCTGCAGACCTGCTCGTGCCAGATTGTGTTACAGGAGGACTCACTGGGCTCCCACCTTCATCCTGCACTTCCAAGGGATCCTTTACACTGCTGTTGCAGCAGTGCCAGCTGAACCCTCTGAATGATCAGTACTGATTAACACTTTTTTTTTTTTTTTAATCTTAAGTAAAAGCAAAGGCTCTAGGGAGTTTCATCTTTTTCTTAATTCCTGTTTTCAAATCTCCTTTTRCTTTCAGTTCTTCTGTAATTGCAGAGTAGCAGAGGCTGCAGAGTTTTTTGTCRTTTCTCCAAAGACTTCACATTTAGATTTATGATCTATTTTTAAAACCAAGTCTGTTTGTAATAGATCTGTGTCCATCACTGTCCTGATTAGGAAGTTCACAGCAGCGACTGTGACAGGTCTTTGCCCTTCAGTTATCCCAGAGTGGGGTGCACATCTACTCTTCTAGGGATAAGGGGATCCCTTATTGCTCAACAACCTAAAAACTGCTTCAGGGGCTCCTCAAAATTTGACATGGTCCTCCTGAATGTGGTAAATGTAGATAATCATTGTCATCTGCAATTGTCCTGGCTGGCAAAGGCTGGGGGTGTGAATCAGCTCCTGCGTGTCTCCAGAGAATTGCTAAGGACCTCCAGGACCAWTAACCAGCACTGCCAAAGCCACCTCTAAATCTTGTCCCCAAGTGCCACATCTACAGATCTTTTAAATCCTTCCAGGGATGGTGACTCCACCACTGCCCTGGGCAGTCTGTTCCATTGCCTGACCAGCCTTTCAGTGAAGAATTGMTCCCTAATACCCAATCTAAACCTCCCCTGGTGCAACCTGAGGCCATTTCTTCTTGCCTTACGTCTTTTTACATGGGCAAAAAGACCAATGCCATGAAAACCTCTAATTGAGAATCCTCCCCAGCTATTTTGTGGCTTCAAATGCTCTGAAATGCAGAACAGTGAGAGCAGACAGCAGAGTTGAACCTGCTTTGTACTTCATGCCAGCTGTTAAAGTGTACTGTAATATAGTAGAACTAAGGGTAACAGGAGGAGTAAAACAAGTAAAAAAAGTATTTCTTTAAAAATCAAGAGTGATTTTCAGGAATTAACTGCCAGAGGAGGTTGTGGAGGCARCATCAAAAGGTGCAGAAAGAGCTGAGAGAAATTCTACATGCCAAAAAAAACAGACAGGGTGTTCCCCTCTAACATCCTTGGTCCATGAAATAGCTATTCCTAATGACGTTTTAATGAAGTCCAGCAGTGTAAACCCACTGGGGGGTTTAAGAGTCACAGGGGCCTCTTKCCCTGCTTGTTTGTTTTTGCAGAGGAGGACTGTAAGAAGTACTTGCAGAGGAAGCAGGAAGAGGCCAACCAGCCTCTCCAAGTGCCAGCAGTGGACAGCAGCGTGCCGAAGACGTTGGAACTGATGGGCATCACCATCAGGGATGATCCATATGGTAAGAGCCCATGCTCTGCTACCTGATTCCTCGTGTTGGAATTGCCTTCTCCATGGGAAGTGTGGAAAACCTGTTTGCTTTCAKTATTCCCACAGCTTTTCATAACCCAGCCCAGAATGCTTTGGCTGGTAGTCACTGGGCATCTTTATTTTTCCTGTTTTTTAGAGCAGAGAGGGAAAGAAACCCTGAGGAACATTGTACCCAGGAACAGGCTGGCACAGAGCCACTGGACACACATGAGAGGGGATTTCCCAGAAAAATGTCCCTTAGCCCAGCCAGGCCCAGAGCATCAGCTGCTGAAAGCTCAGGGAGTGGGCAGGGGGAAAGATGTCAGAGGTGATTTCCCTGCCCTGTCTTTGTCAAGTGGAACCACCTTGAATGAAAAGGAAGTAGGTTTGAAGTAGGGCTGGGGTGAASTGGGTGGAGAGAGGAAACAGGTTCTGTGTGTGCACTGCTGTGCGTGCAGCTCTGCGTGCGCAGCCACGTGTGAGCTGGCCAGTCTGACTTTGGGTGGCCACCTTTGCTGCATGTGTGGACATCCTTAACCCTCCCCAAATGTCCACAGACCAATATTCTGGTGCTTGTATGCAGCAGCTTTTCCTGATATGACCCCCCCAAGTTAGCGCCRTGCCCCTGCAGCAGTACCCTCAGTCTGACTGACCTGGCAGACATTCCSCTTCTGCTTCACTGGATGCTTCTTGGGCTGGATCTGCCTGCTGGGTTGATACTTTCCTCAGCAGCTTTTAGAGCCTGACCTATTTTTTCACTGTGGTAGGCTTTAACTTGCATAAAAAATTGAATATATCTGTAGTGACATTGATATGAAAAAAACCACAGTTGGAAACTATCCAGCAGTATTAAGGCACTTAATTATGAGAGACATTGCCCTTAAAATGCAGCACTTTAATATTTGGATAACTGCTAAATAAACAAGAGCTGCCAGCCATTAATATAATTAGAAAACAGGCCCATTAGGATATTGCTTCAAGTACCCAGGTTTGACATCTTAGCCATAGAAATGACAGATTCCAAATTTCAAGGCTCACCCCATAGCTCCATGGACAGCAGATGGCAGGACATTGCTGGATGAACAAATGTTTTGGTTGGGAAATTTGAATCTCTGTAACCTGAACTAGAGAAAAAGGACCCAGAGCCACAAGGATATTTTAGATGTGAAACTCTGTGAAATCCCAGAGCTTCGGGCTCTGAGTTGCATCCTCTGGGGTACTCTTCTCCCTCCAGCTATTCCCAGGCTCCATGTTATTGCCTGCACAGATTTTGCCTGTCTGCATCTCAGCTCCCTTTCTCTGACCCCTGCCAGCCAACGTGGGTGTATGTGAACAGCCTGGCCAGTGACAGCRGTCAGGGCACTGATGTGTGTCACCTCCTGCCAGCCCTGTTAAGGACAGGACTCCGGGCTGAAGGGCAGRCAGCTCATCTAATAAAATGCTAAATTACCTTTGCAAGTTTGGCCAGAGCTTTTCAGTTAGACTCCTGATTCTGTTTGAGTTGAAGTCTGTGGGAGCTCTTGAAAGTTCACTACGGGAATGAGCTTCATGTATAGTAAAAGATGACAGCTACATTTTTAATGGTTTCAGGGAGCGGAACAGAGATATTTGATGCCTTCATCTGCTACTGTCAGAAAGACCTTCAGTTTGTCCAGGAGATGATCAGGGAGCTGGAGCAAACACAGTTCAAACTGAAGCTCTGTGTATTTGATCGGGATGTCTTGCCAGGAACCTGTGTGTGGTCCATCAGCGGAGAACTTATAGAGAGGAGGTAAGTGACCCGTGGCTGTTGGGGCCAGCTGTGAGTGTAGTGGAACATTACATTCATTTTACAGTGATGTCTGCAGCGTGGTGCCAGTGAAACAGCAAAAATCCACAAGAATGCCTTCATGGGGTTTGTTTTACGCTCTTGGCTCAAGAAGGATGAATCGAGCATTTACRATATGTCGCTTCGTGTTCACAAGGGAGGTGCCATTGTGATGATGGTACTTATGTTCAATCATTTTTCTTGGCCTTTTGTGTCACATATAGACACAGGATGCCATAAAGGTTGCACAGACAGTCTGGACTTCGCTATTGCCCCTATTTTTGGTATATGAGTGTGTATCTGTAATCAGGTTTTTGTATGTAACATTGCTGTGTATCTGTCAGTTGTTCCTGCTCTGCAGTTAATTCCTGCTGGAACACAGCCAGGTCCTTCTCCACTGGAGCAATTCAGAGCAGTACAYGCTTGTATTTGTGGGAATGAGAACTATCTCCTTTGACATTTTATTTTTTTTCTCCCCTGCTTCATCTCCAGGTGTCGGAGGATGGTGGTTGTCGTTTCAGATGACTACCTGGAAAGCGATGAATGTGATTTCCAAACCAAATTTGCTCTTAGTCTTTCCCCGGGTAAGATCTCACAAATGTCCCATTTACAATTGCACGTTATTACAGTGACATCTAAAGCTCCAGCTGAGGTCAGTGGGCAGTGTACCACTGGAACTAACAGGGGCTTCATAATTTGGTTGTGCAAATAGGGGCTTGGGCTCAGTCCCTTGCCCTGCTCTTGACCTTCCTCACGTGGCTGYGAGCGAGAAGCTGCCTGTGCTGCAGTGCTCCAGCTGTCAGTGGGATAATGCTGCCTGCTCCAGAAATGTCAGAGCTGCATGCCAGCCTTGTGAAAGGCTTCCCGATCTATACAGGAAAATTTGCTGCTAAAGAGGCAAGTAGTATAATAAATCCTAGGATGTGAGTAAAGCTGGGAAAAAGGTGGCAGGTAACAAACGTGCAAATTTCAAGGCCAGGCTGGGAGGCACTCTGAGCAACCTGGTCTAGTGGAGGGTGTCCCTGCCCATAGCAGGGGGGTTGGAACAACATGATCTTTAAGGGCCCTTCCAACCCAACCCATTCTGTTTTATTATTCTTACAGAGATCCTTGAGTATTGTGGATAGGTAAACAAAATATGGAATGAATGTTCAACTTAAGCTGGGAAATTTTTTACGTATTTTGTCCTGAATTGAARAGCCACCAATTTACTTCTCCCAGGTCTGCTCTGATTGCTCTTCTTTAGCCACTAGTTGTTCTACAGTTGTCTGTGTTGCTGCGGAGTAAGTGCAGTCCAGCCTGATAGTATGAAGGGTATGTAGAATTGGGAAGAGTTTCTGGATGTAAAGTCTCTTTTCTAGATGAGGCATCTGACGTGATATTATAAATGGCAAGCCAGTGGTCAGAACCAGTGGTAGAGCCAGGAATTCACTTAATCTTCCTTGACACACTAATTTCATATGATATCAGTTAATCCATTGAACACCCTCAGTCCCCAGTCATCAAGATTTGTAGAAAAGTCCTTTTAGTTCTTCACYAGTTTCTGTGGGCATCACATGTTCCATTAGAACAGGAAAAGAAGTTCCATCTGTATGGAATGACCTGAGCTCTGCCAGTGAGAACATGGTGTAAGTACAGGCTTAGAGAAGTCACAGCATTACCTGTTTGTGTGTTACTAATGCACAGAAGGGTTTGGTGGCAGGCTCTGGGAGCTCCATGGATTACTCTAGTATCTGCTGCAGTTAAGAAATCTTGGTTATTTGCCTCATCCCGATCTTGGTGTCATCACTTGCGCTGGGCACAGTGCTTGCAGGTGTCCCTGTGGAGAACTACAAGARGAGAAATTCCTCTGTGGAAGAGCCGCTCCTTCAAGCAGCAGCAGTCACAACAAGGGTGTTCTCATCTCGTGGTGTCTCAAAAACAGCAATTCATGTTAGCAGGGGATTTGTTGGGSAACATCTGCAGCCTGAGTAAATCAGGATTCAGAGACTTGTTCTCTGGGGTGAGAGCTGGTTGCAACATGATGAGATGATGCACAGTCAGGAGCAAAGCTGGATCCTGTGATATGTGTGCTGTGGTGGGGAGGAAATGGATGTGGGATCTGCCTGTGGCTCTGTGTAACCATCTGCCTGTGTGACCTGTCTTTCAGGTGCTCGTCACAAACGGCTGATTCCAGTCAAGTACAAATCCATGAAGAATGAGTTTCCAAGTATCTTACGGTTCATTACGATTTGTGACTACACCAATCCTTGCACTAAAAAATGGTTCTGGACGAGACTGGCAAAATCCCTCATGCTGCCCTGATGCAAAGTCCTGAGAGCTGGGAACTCTTGTAAGCTGTCCTGGCAGTGCCTTCGGGCCAGGGGTGTCATTGACACAGGGTCTTCCACCACTTCAGAACCTGGATCCTTGCAATCCATGCTTGGAGCCTGCAACTGGGAACAAAGAACTTTTTCCAGCACTTCTTTGCAACTCAGAGGGGAAATAAAGCAACTGTGTTGGTGTTCTGGGTCAAGTCATTGAGCAGCAGCATCCAGCATTTGTGGAGTAAGCCCTTCCACTAAAAATACTGAAAATACATAGTTAAAGAGATTTCCTGTCTGATCCAGGAAGCATTAGCAAGTATCTGTTGTAAGCATTCACAAGGCCTCAGAGCCTCAAACTTCAGGCTTTGTCTATGTTTTAAAAGCTACAGTAACATGGAGGCTTGGTGGGAATTTTACCATGTTGGACAGGTCTGTCTATTCAGGTCACATTTGATTCAGTGACTTTATACTAGCATTGAATATTCCTTGATATTACTAAATTTTTACTTTCCCTTCAGGAGAAATTCAGTCTTATAAAATGTCTTTTCAGTGACAGTCCTTACTACACAAAGCAGGAGCTGCTGTTGCTCATTGACTTGACCAAGATCTGCACCTGAGTGGGTCCAGATCTAAATCCTTTCACCTTTAAAARCCTTCCAAAACACAGCAGCTTTTGGGATGCCTCAAAGGCACAGGGCTAAACACTGAATAAGGAGTACATTAAATTGACATTTGGGCTATTTAAAATATGAAGGCAAATGTTACATTAATAGGAAAGAGACTMATTTAATTAACTGCCACAATAATTACTGTATTTCTGTGGCTAAGGCTTGCAGCAATGTCGAGACTGCTCTGCTTGTTAGACTTGGCCTTGAATCCTGCCCRTGACTAGAGTGGATCTCATCAGTGCTCCAGGGTGGAGGTCAGGAGTTCTGCCCAAAGGAGTGTTTAAAGCGATCCATYGGTGTATTAAACAGATTTACAGTAAATATTTACTTTTTAAATTGGGGAAGAGAGGAATCTTGCTTATGTGTCCGCAGTTGCTTGAACTCTGCCCCTTTGTTCATTACTTCAGCCACTGACTCATGTTGATTTTACAGCWTAATGTTTTACTAGTTTACATTTTTAAGGTTGCATCTGGATATGATTTTTTTTCAATTTTAGCTTTGTTTTAAAGCATTACCAGGGCTGAGGCACAGACAGCAATGCGCTCCTGCCTCTCCCTCACACTCCTTGTCAGTGAATGATCCCTTACCAGGGATGCTGCCAAATCCTGTCCAGGTGCTGCTGCTGGTTCCTCCCAGCTGACAGCAGCAGCCCTTGACCTGAACATGGTGAAGCTCAATCACGCACATCACGTTGGCAGCAGGAGCCGTTTTTGGATAGACCCACGAGCTGGGTGTTTCTCATACAAAAATAAATGCTGCCATCGTGCCAAGGTGACATTTGCACCTTCCTGTCTTGCTAGAACAAGTGAGAAGTCTGTGGGCACGGGAGAAAGAAACTTAAGTTGATGAGGGGTTTCTGAATTGTTTGTCTTCATGTCCTATTGCCCTCGGGCCTCTCCTGCAGAAGTGGAGACAGCTGCTTGCCTCGGGCTTTCTGCATAATCATTAAATGTTAATTATAGAAGAGCTTCAGGAGCTTGATCCCCAGGCGCTCCAGGGCTCGGTGAATTCTCATTCTCTGGAGAGTCTATAAACATCAATTATGGGTCATTACTCGCAGGACCAAACCAGATCCGTCCTGCCTGGAGAGCTGGMAGGGCTCTGGTGGCTGGTTCGGGTGGAGCTGAGGCAGAGCCTGTGCTGTGAACGCTAGAGGGAGGCCATGGCCCACGCTCGCACCCTGTGCAGGAATACGGGTAGGATGGGGGGAGACGGCCTGGATGTGGCCACTGACCTCTGCCTGGCATGGAAAAAAGACAAGTGGGTTCTCCCCCTCTGCCCCGGGCTCCCCTTCTGAGGAGGCCATTCCAAAAACAGGGAGAATTTTGGCAGCTTGAACTTCGTGCAGTGTCTTCTGAGTCCTGATGGTTTGGGACAACCAGAACGTTGCAAATGAGGGGAAAATAACAGCAGGAAAAATGATGATGTTTGTAATAGATGATTTGGTGATCGTCCAACAGGAAAAGCGCTGGTTCTGGAAGGGAAAGCAGAAGAAGAACTCAATTTCTAATTTTTCTGACATTCAATAGAAACATGGCATATTCCACTCAGTGGTGAAAGATGTTGGGATCTTGTTACCCCCCTGCTTGTGGTGCCCTGGCCCTTCTCTCTGCTTGATTTGGATGCTGGAAAAGTCTTAACAGCTGTGGGGCTGTTACTTTATTACAARCTACAAATTATCTTAYAGGGYAAAAATAATTATTTTGGGGTGAAGTGAGGTTAGAGCCCTAAAACATAAAATATGCTTTAAACATATATCCTCTTCTGTGTAAAGCCCAGTTTATGCACTTCTGACACTTTCATATCTACCTTGTCACAATAATTTGAAGTGTGACATTGTGAATGATGCAAAATGTAGTTATTGTGAGCCATTTGCCCATTTCAGTGGCATTTGGAGTTCTCCTCCCCTCTTTCATGCTCAGTGGAAGGTCAAAATTTTTTAACACCTTTAAAAAAGGGATTTGTAAAATGGTGATGCTACAAGTTTTTTTTCTATTTTGTCTCTGTCCCTCACTGAAATTATCTTAGTTGAGTCTGTTAGAGCCAAATCATTTATTTTTGTATACAGACATATATATTTATATTCATTTTGTGAGCTGATATGAAGGGGAAAAGCATCCATGTGTATAGTATAGCCATTCTGAAAATAGACAATGTTTCTCTTTTTCTCCGCAAAAATCCAAACTTTTGCTACTTTTGAAAACATTTTAAAATAAAGAATAAAAACCCAGCAGGCTGGATCTGCTTTGTGGGCATCGAAGAATAAAACTATCTCAAAATGAAGTTTAAGTGAAGAATGATAGGATAGTTCTTTATTTTCTTTTAATGTTTTGGCTAAATAACTTCATCAGAGGAAGTGGTTGGCTGTATCTGGGAGAAAGAAAAATAGAGTTATGTCATGCTAGGAGGAAAGTTTGTCAAAGAATTGTACTTCTGACGTGGTTCCTCTCCAAGTCTTGTTTTTTGTTTTGTGATCTGTGTTGCCATCCTGGATTTCTTCAGCCCTGGTGCCCATCAGGCTGGAGGGGATGGAGCCAGGGCTCTGCTGGGATGCTGCTCCTGTTCCACACCCTTTCTGGAGGCCCCAGCAGGGATTATTACAGCACAGCGATCCAGGGGATTGTGCCAGCTTTATTTCCTTTGGCTCTGAGTCGGTCCAAGCCAGGGAAATAACTTACAAACCCAGCAGCTGTCAGGCCAAGGCCCTGCTGCAGGAAAAGATGAAGGATCACTGAATCACAGAAGTGTTGGTTGGAAGGAATTCCTGGAGGTCAAGGCCGAGCTGCTCTTCCTAAAGGGAAGGGCCATACCTTAAGCCACTTGCAGGGCCACTTTCCCTATAAAGCATATGAAGTTGTGTCTCTGCTATGGCTACTATGAACATATGGASAGCGGTATGGAAACGATCCCTGGGTATATTATTTGAGATTGCTGGCAAGAGCAGCCTGCCAGGACAGTCCCATTCCCTGAATGTGCTGGCATTCCATCACTCCCCTGTTCTGTGGTTTRGAGATGTTAATGATTTTTGCCCATATTTGAGCATGAGTGTAACTGATTCAGGGGTCCAGCTGCAATGGCTCTTTTCCAGCTGTCACTCCCCTTGTGCTGAAGAAATATTCCCAGTCCTCTGTTTCCCTTTGGTGCAGAAGTGTTGGTGCCACTTCCTCATTTACAGGAGGGATAGCATTTACGTGGTGAAACTTGGAAACTGCTGCAGAATGTTCTCAGCTTCAAAGAAGGAGGGTGAGAGGCCAGGTATTGACCTCGATGGATCAAATTCCCTCCTTCATTTTCACCAATGTGAAAAGAGTTGTGTTACCATGATGGAGGCACTGTTTGGTCCAGAGGGCACACTTACAGGAATAAAATTAGCATAGGGAAGAAAGTGTAATTATGCATAAAAAATAGCTGGGAAAATGTTGTTTGAGCATCCTGGAAACAGATTTTAATAAGGCAATAAAAACCAAGCCCCACAAGGTTCACACTGCTGGGAAACATACTCATAGGGCTTATTAAAGAGCACCTCTGTCAGACCATTTGGGGCTTTAAACATGTGCTGTGTACAAATATTCCGCTAAAGGTAATTTTCTCAAGGTGTTACAATCATTTTCATATCCCCACTAGGACTTTGAACCCAAACGAGCTTCTTGATCAGCACTATCAAGCCCAACCCTGGAAAAACTTATTTATTTTGCAACAAAATCTGCAGTCAGGGGACTGAATAGTGTTGTATTCACTCTGGGGCTGTGCTGCTCTGCAGAAGTTTAATTAACTGAAGCTATGTTTAAGTCTTAAGCTGTTGCAAAGCCTGATTTACAAACAATGCATTTTCTGTTCTGCAGCAGAACCCAGCTTAGGTGTGACTTTCCCTCCTCCTGCTCCCACTGATAAAGCTGCTCATGCCATGGCACAGGTTGGGGCTGTCCTTGCCAGCCAGCCTGATCCTTCTATCAACCATCAGCCTGGATGGTTTCCACAAAGACTGGGGATGCATCTCTGCAGTTCAGAGCATGAATGTTGTATCAACTGCACACGGAGTTTCTCCTGCCTGGCRGACAGCAGAGGGATTTTGATTTGGAATTCCCCAATTCCTAGTCTTGTGTAGGGTGGGTTTTTGTGGGGCTAGAGTGGAAGGAGGGAACGAACATATCTGTATTGTCCACATTTCTGCACCAAAGGGAAACACATCACTATGGCTCTCTGCAAAAGGTTGCTTGGAACGTTTTCCTCCTCTTGTTTCCATACACCTTCCCACCGCCTTGGAGAGCGGGACAAGTGCAGTGTGTCTGGCTGAGCCCAAGGACAGCACAGCTGTTCCATCATGTGCTTCCAAGCCTCCCCTTCCCAGCAAACACCAGGAGAACCCCCAGTGAGGGGGCAGGTGACAGACGGCTGGGAGCACAGATGCACTGGGAGGAACATGCCAGCGTTTCCCCAACAACCAAGCATCCAAACTCTCCCTGGACTGCATAGATTTTGCACAGCTCTGAGTCCTCTGTGCATTCCTGCAGGGAAAGAGCAAAGCAGCGAGCCCAGCAGGGTGCCAGCCTCCAGGGAAAGATGCAGTGGGTCCTGCTGCCTCCTAAAGGAAGTGGCTGCTCATTCAACTGTGCCAAGGGAGCAGGAAAACTTTGCAGAGGAGACAACTTTACAAAGCAGGACCAGGAAGAGGAGAACCCTTGTTCCAACCAGTGAGAACGTGGGGGGCTCAATGCTACCAATCTTCTCTGGTCTGTTAATGAAATCAAAGCCATGAGGTGATCAAATAGGTCTTTATCYACTGTTTAGGATTCTAGTCAGGAACTCACAGGGTGATAGATATGTTCAGGCAAATGTGGGGTTACAATGAAGTGAACTTTCACAAAGTTTTTGCAGCATTTTTCTGGCTCTGRTCTTCAGCTGTGTCCGCCTTCTGTCTGTGTCAGCAGAATGAGATGTATGAGCTGCAAGACCTGAGGTGTTTAACTGTTCATGTGCCAGTCTATGGGCTGTTGCCTCAGAAAAAAATACCACTCAGGAGTGGAAAAACTAGGAAAACAAATGTGGAGTTCTGTGTGCTCTTCCCTGTCCCATCGGAGACAGACCCTCCAGTCAGCTCTACAGCAACATTTTCAAAAGTATTCAGGAATCTGGGTGACTGATTGAAAACTACTGAATCATTGAAGATTTAGAGTTTGATTCTTGCCAGCATTTGGCAGAGACCTCCCCAGGGAAATATACAGGGAAACGAAATTTCAAGTGCTTTGAGTCAAGGAATAAATTGGACACTGGCCTTAAAATATCACTGTCTCAGTATCTCTAGAATCTTGCCCAGGTCTGTAAAGCCCATACTTTTTAATATCAATAAA